GAAAAAAAATTCTAGCAATGGATTTTAATAGTAACAAAAATCCAGCACTAGAAAAAATTCTAGCAATGGATTTTAACAGTAACAAAAAATCCAGCACTAGAAAAAAATCTAGCAATGGATTTTAACAGTAACAAAAAATCCAGCACTAGAAAAAATTCTAGCAATGGATTTTGATAGTAAAAGCAAAATAATTACCCAAACTTCCATTAAATGATCCATAAGGAATTGACATACCTTTAAACAAATGAAACCAAAATAAAGTATGAATACATGGGCAAAAATGCATATTTTCAATAATTTTATTTAATAATTTTAATGGAAAATATTTTCAACGTTTGGAGCATTAACAGATGTCTCAATATGGTGTCGTATAACGTCCAGAACTGGGTTTGTCTACGACACTGCCTATTCGTAACCCCCATTTCCACTGTGAGAAAGGTAATTGACGTCAGTCTGGGATGATGTGCAATGAGAACATCTTAAGTGTCGAGATGCCCATCTCACTACAAGATACATTGTATGTGAACATCTTTATTAATAACTACATACATGACCGAATATTTTGATTAACTTTGAAGTCGTTATATGCATAGGTCAGATTGCAAACTTTCCATATGTGTGTACACATTGTTTGAGTGATTAAGATTCTCTACTGAATTTAGGGCACTGACAAAGAGGAAATTGATGTTGCAAACTATTTTTTCTGTAAAGTAAATGCTTTATCACACTTAGGCTAAGGAAATTTATACCTACTGGTAATGCAATGAAGTAATATATTAAAGTGTAAATAGGGGACTTAATCTCTCTTATTTAACGTTATATTTTGTTCAACTCCGGACCTTCGTTAATTGTTTAAGGCCAGCGAGCAAATATTATTATTATCATTTTTATTTTCTTTGATTTCTGGCGTTTACACATTTCTTTCCGGGTCCCGCCCAGGGACCTAAGGTTAGAAATGGCGTCATGACACTTTCCACTGAAAAAAAAAAAAAAAAAAATTAAATTACATAGATAAAGCCATTCGTAAGGTGTGGGCTGTACTTGTCAGAACAATTTTTTGTATCTCCTTGAGGCATGGACTTCCAGGAATCCCTTCAATTAGTCTACTGCAATCGAAGGGATTCCTGGAAGTCCATACATTATTATTATTATTATTATTATTATTATTATTATTATTATTATTCCTTCCTTTTATTTCTGGTGTATACCCATTTCTTTCCGAGTTTCAACCAGAGACCTAAGGTCAACAATGGGATCGTAACATTTTCTATTGAGCATTTAAAAAACAAAACAAAACTAAGATCACATACATTTTACATAGATAAAGCCCTTTGTAAAGCATGAGCTGTAATTATGAGTATATTTATTTGTATTTCTTTAAGTCTTGGACTACCATGGATCCCTTCAATGTATTTATTGGAACCTTTTAAAATCTTACCGGGGACAACTACACCTGGAATCGTTGATGTCCTCACGTGCCGCATTTTTGAGATTTCGATTTCAAGGCCTTTATATTTTCATAGTTTTTTGAAAATCTTCAAAGACACATTAAATTCTACAGTGACTGTCATGTTAATAAGAAGGCATATTCTGTTTTTGTAGTCTCTGATTAATTTCCGTAAAAGCTGCATATTTTCCAATGCAGATATTGGCTCACTCTGTCATGCCGGGATTTATATTCAGTGGGTGCCAATACGGTGCAACCTTACACAAGATTTTATCTGGATAAATATCACAGAATCTGCATTTTGAGCTAACATAATTTTTCAGTATGTATGCTTGGTAATTTCTCGTTAGCAAGTATTGGTCCTGCACAAGTTTTAGTTTCAGTTAACCCTGCACTACGTAACCACTGATGGTGACCGGGTTTGTCTGTATTACCAAAATATTGATCATGAAGAGGCTTGCCATCGTTCCTGCATTTGGTACATTGTATTTGCTTTTGCTTTCTTTTTAGTTTCTTTGCCGCTGATTTACGTTTTATTTAACTACATCACCCACTTAAAATTCCATTCTGAATTTGTAGCAACCATATTACTGAATAATACTTCTTATTTCTTTCATATTCAGATCATCATCCAGTCTTCTGTAGTTTCCAGATATCTTTGAAAATCTATTGTTGTAGATTTGTAAGACAGTTCTAGTTGAACTAATCCCCTGCCTCCTTTAGATCTGGACACACACAGACGATCAACATTAACCTTAGGATGATGCATGTGGTGGCAAGTGAGAAGCTTTTTCCTTTTGACATCCATTCGCTTAATGTCAGCTATGGTCCAATTAAGGATGTTGAAAATGTATTGCATCACAGGAACAACCAAAATATTTATGACTAATATTCTGTTTTCTGATTTCAACTCTATATTTAACGCGCCTGGAGTATATATTTTTTACTTTTTCTTACATTTGTGTATCCTGTATTCCATATCTTTGCCTGATTCCAAGTCCCCTAATCTTTGTGACAAGACCTAAATCTATTTAGCGTGTTTCTATAATTCTCTTTTCTTGAATGTTACTTTTGCACATTTATTTAATCCGAGATCCATACCGATGCCACCACTGGTTTCAGTGGTGGCTTGAGTTAAAGAGTATCGTCAATACTGTAGAATGTTTATTCTACAGTATTGACGATACTCTTTAACTCAATGTCGTATTTGGAAAAGATTTTATCACCCATGAAGAATAGGTGATTAAACAGTTTTTTTTTTTTTTACTTCATACTCATAGTTATTAATTTTGGTTCATGCGAAATGGGGATCCAAGACAGACAGAAGAGAAGGGTCGACAGGGAGGGTCCTTGAAAGATTCTTCGTCGGATATTCAAACAATTAAAAGTGGCAGTAACTTATTTAAATTTTATTTTCAGTAGGGATCACCCTGTACAGAACCCGGAGCTACTCGAGGTAGAGGGTTATGTTAAGGAGTAGTTTATATAGATAGGAGTGGAAGATAGCGGTTGACTCTAGACATGAACAGGTTAAGATTGTAGTGATCGGGAAACATGCTGTTGGGAGTCTGTTCTACAGGGCAGTGGTTCGTGGGATGAAGCTGTTGGAATGGAATTTACTTCTCACCGATGGATTAGAGAGGGATGTGGGTGGTTTGCTATGATGTGAGTGGCATGGTGAGTCCTAGCGGTGAAGGTTATAGTAGTTCGTCCAATTCCTTTCCATGGAAGTAGCTACAAGAGCAGTAAGAGACCCGCCACATCCTGCCTGTGAGAGAGAGGTAGGAGAGTGGAAAATGATTCATCTCCAACAAAGGCACTGAGAAGCTATCAAAACTGGAAACTGAGGTCAGTGCAGTTCTCACCTAAATATGACAAAAGTACCGATCATTTTACCTGCATCTTTAGCGATGGATCGCATATACGAGTTCCACTTGGAGTCGGGTGTGAGTTTGAGGCCCAATATCCCCCTCCCCCCAAAAAAAAACTACAGAGCCTCCTCGAGGGGACATGCGTTCATCGTAACTGGCCTTTGATGAAATTTAGGTAGTTTTCTACAGTTCTGGACTTTGGTGAGATTTAGATAGTTTTCTACAGTTTTGCTGTCACATTTAAAGAAATTTACTATTACTGAGGAGTCTTACAACATTTCCAAAGCCTTAAGGAGTGTGGTACACTACCAAAGGCTTTACGCTAATCTATCCAAGCTGTTATTAAATGTCAACCTTTTATCCTGAAATTTTCCAAAAGCATTTTATTTATTAGTAGTTGATCTTTGCAACAATATGAACCTGTTCGATATCCGTTCTGTTCCAGTTGAAGAATGTTGTGTTCATCGAGAAAAGCGTAAGTACAGTTCGTCAGGACAGACGTGATCACTCTTTATACAGTGGACAGATATGTTATTAGCCTATAATTTTGGGGATCATCTGTTTATCCGTTTTTGGTAGAAGATATATCATATCTACTGTGATCCATTCTGGAATTTCATTGGGCTATTAATTAGTATTCATAAACTTTGTTATATATATATATATATATATATATATATATATATATATATATATATATATATATATATACCGGATGTAACAGAAAAATTGTGCAAATCGTGTGAAAGCAAAATTGTTCAATTGTTAGATTAAGCTTTGAACCGTTGTATCTTAGAAATGATTATAGATAGCTTACTGGAATTTTTCCGACTATTGGACTCGACTTTGATCAATAAGAGTTTATAATTACTCGCCAACCTTAACAGAAGAATCGTGAGGAATCACTCATACAAAAAAAAATGACATGTTCATCATAAATTAATCATAGCTAAGGATCGGCAGCTCATGAAGGATTGAAATAAAGTTCATATATATATATATATATATATATATATATATATATATATATATATTATTTCATTTTCCAAGAAGGTGCCTCAAAGATTTCCTGTACGATTTCATTTTCAAGTCTTTTGGACTGCCATAGCTGAAAATCACCTCTCACGTGCCAAACGTCTTATATATTGAGTTGGATCTTTTCTAATTGATCTCTTTAGCTCTAAGTTAAAATGATGATCCCTCTTGCTGTTGTTACTTCCTGGTCCAGTTTTCACCTCTACTGTTCACCCTTATTCACCGTTCTCTTGATGGTTCTTGAATGAGCATTGAAGATGGAACCCAGAGTATGAATGTTGGTGTCATTATTGAAGGCGTGAATGATCTTTTCCCTCTCACCATTGCTTAGTTGGGAAAACAGTGAGGCTGATATAAAACAATTTTAACTTGTTCACTTTCTAGTTGAATAACTCAAAAGGCTTTTCAAAGATTCTCAAGACAAATGGTATCAAGAATGTTAAACGTCTCATCTGAAAACCTGAAAAACACTGAAATAGATTAGTGTTTTTTAGGTATTAAACAATCTGTAGAGTGGACAATTATGCTGTAACACGATGTGGACAATTTTTTTTGCTACACCTGGTATATATATATATATATATATATATATATATATATATATATGTGTGTGTGTGTGTGTGTGTGTATGTGTGTGCGTGTGTGACAGAAAGAGAAAGAGAGAGAGGGAGAGAGAGAGAGAGAGAGAGAGAGAGAGAGAGAGAGAGATCTTTACTTTGGTAAGCATAAACCATATTCAAACTCGTACACCAGGAGAGGAAATGCCTATATACATATACATCTATATATTGGCATTGATGGTTTAGCTTTTCTGGTTCCCAACCAACATTTTCTTGATCTTTAAAGTCCATTTCGTTGCTAAGGTCTACTAACCAGGCAGCTCCGTTGGCAACCAGCGTTTTACTCCAGGGCAACTTTTATCCGGTAACCCCCAAACGCCATCCTTTGGTCCCATCGACCCTTCCTCTACTTTACATCACACCACGACTTGAGCACCCTACTGATCTTTTCTTGCGTCCGGAGCAGTCACCTATTTGCTTATACTTTTCTTCCTTCTCGTCTTTTCTTCTTTCGTTTTTCTAAGTGGACGCAAAGCAGAGTGAACCGGGCTGACCCCGCATCGAAAGGTAGACGTAAGCAGGGCGACTTATATTTCACCTTTTACTGTTCGCCACCATCAACACCACTGCAGGCACAACCATCGTCTTTGCGTGTTTGCATGCATCGATTTATGACTCTGTGCATACATATCTATCGTCTTTCCCGCTCGCTTTTTCACTTTACCGCTCGTTTCTTTGTTTCCCTGTTCATTACTTCGCTTTCCCTCTCACTGCTACTTGGTCTTTCGCTACGCCCTCTCTTTATCTTTGCTCCTTTTTCTCTTTTATTTCTCCTCCTCTTTTTCAACATACTGCCACTTTCTTCCTTTTTATTTCTTTGCATTTTCTCCATCTGCCTTTCACTCTCTGTTTTTATTCTCGGTAATATTTTCCTCTTTTTAAACCATTTATTTATTTTTTCTTCGATACCGTAGTTTAATATCTGTCCTTTTCAACTCTTTATTTAAACCTTTTTCATGTATAGATTTACCTAAAAATGTTATTTACTCTATCGTTTTCTTTCTGGGATTTGACGCTTCTCTCTCATTCGCCTTCTCTACCTGTTTTCTTATCATCTTTTTGTTTTAGTCTATTTATTAGCGAAAAAAGAGGAATCTTATTTTATCTCATTTTTATATTCTCTTTTGATTTCTGTTCCACCTCTTCTGTACTTCTCAACATAGATCTATAGTTCCTGTAATTTCACTTCTTACTTTCTTTCGGTCTGCCTGTTTGTCTTTCTTAATGTTATCTTTTTATCGTCTGCTTTCCTTCAGAGCCTTTGTCAACTCCTTATTCTTTCAATTTTAACCATCAAGAAAAAGTATCGGATTGCCCTTGGCAAGCCGATATTTATTTATTTATATATACATATATATTTTTTTTTGTTTGTTGTCCTTTTTCTTCTTCTTCATTTTTTCATTCTTCTTCTTCTTACTTCCTTAATTCGCATTTTTCTCACCTTTAATGACAATTCTCCTTCCACTTGTTGTGTTTGTCCTTCTTCATCCTTAAAGCTTATTTTGTCTTACTTTTAATGATTCTTCTTCTTCTTCTTCTCTATATTCCCATCACATCCATTTTCCCACCTTTCTTCCACCTAAACGCACATCATGCCACCTCAATTCACCTCATACAGACGCGAACCTGGTTGTGGCCACTGTTACTTGTTTTGCACCGGAACCGATGCCCCTCTGTGCACAGACCTTGCAGGATAGGAACGCGATTGGCACTGTGGGAGATGAGGGTTGAGCGATGGCAAGAAATGAAGCTAAGGAGAGGAAATAAGGAGGGAGTAACACAATGAATGCGGGTGTTGGGCAGGGATCGAAGTACTCTGGACGAAACTGATGTATGCTTGTAGGTGATGATTTATCGATTGTATCGAAGTAGCAGTTGTGTTGGTAGTTAAAGGCAAAATGAACTCTGCCTTTTACCCTTACTCTCCTTCCTATATTATATTATTCTTTCTTTCTTTCCTAACATATTTTCTACTTTCGTTGAACTGCTTATAATTTTCCACTTTCTTCCTTTAACATCCATGTGTGTCTTTCTTTCCTCTTGTGCTTTTATCCTATCCACTCACTTATTACACCTTTCTGCAGTAACCTATTCTTTTCCCCCGCCTCCTCTTCTCATTCTCATACACATCTTTCCTCTCTCTCCTCTATATCTTCTTCCTTCTTTCTACTAGACTTTAATTTCCCTTCACCATTCGCCCAAGCAAACTCTATTCATGATGAACCGGTTCAAAGTAGGAAGGCACGCGTGCATTACCGAACGCTCGACTGGACATCCTCTGGCCTCTTGTCGCTCCGACCGGTGCCAAAGCGACTTCCACGTGCGTCCGGACGCAAGGTGCACACGCGCCACGAGAATGGTCAGTTGATTGGATGGGTGACTGACTTTACAAAGTACAGAGGCATGAGGTGGGATTGCGGTGAGCGCTGATATATCGCCTGGCAACGAAAAGGCGAGAAGATAGATTGTAAGAGGAGTGCAGACAAGAGCAGGAGTGTGAAGCCTTTACCCTGATATTTTCGATTGAATAGAACAGAAAATAAGAAGAGTTGAAGGTAGAGAATAAGGGAAAGGTGTGTGAAAACAATGATCTGTATAAATCAAGAAAAACTGTTTATTTGTTTAGAGATAATTAGGTAATATATATATATATATATATATATATATATATATATATATATAGAGAGAGAGAGAGAGAGAAAGATAGAGAAAGGGGAGAGAATATATCTATCTAAAACATATTCTTTAGTATATATATATATATATATATATATATATATATATATATATATGTGGTAAATATATGACAATTTGGAAAACCTGTTATGTTGACATGTTTCCCCGATGAAAATGTCATTAGAAAATCAGAAAAAGAAATTATTTCATTGAATTTATTTCAAATAATATACGTTTTTCTGATGACTCTATTTGATTGGCGAAAAATATTGCTTTGTCATATATTTATTATTCCATCTCATATATATTTTATCATATATATATATATATATATATATATATATATATATATATATATATATAGGCAAATATTTTCATTCTAATTACTTATTGTATAATATAGGCATATTATGTCAGTGTATTTTATAATTCTTTTTTGTCCGCTAATCAGCTTCTTGATGTTAAGATGAAATTCATCAAGGAATGCGAAAAAAACACGATTCCTTGGACAAGTTAGATAGGGGCAAAACCGCCAAGGCCTCCCTCAGCCTGAATCCCCCCCCCCGGAGAAAGTGGTGGCCTCCAATGATGTCCATATTGAGTGAATTTTGTACCTTATATATGTGCCTAACGTTTTTTAAAATTTAATTGAAATATATTAATTTGTTTTATAAAAAAAGTTCTGTTTTTTTATTATCCAGTAATATTTTCCTGATTTATCTGCGCCACACTGTACATCATGAGGATCATCTCATTACATATGTTGAAAGTCATTAACAAGTTGCGGTATAAGGGGTTACTAGATAAACTTTACAGCGATGGAATCACTGGAAGAGTCTTCTTAATTATCGAATCCTTCCTAGCAGGTAGATTTATGAAATTAGTTGTTAGTGGCCAGTACTCCGAGGCCCATGAAATCAATACAAGCGTACCCCAAAGCTCGCTTCTCAGGGCAACTCTCTACATTACATTAATGATCTAAGAGAATACTAAGATATTTTGTGAATATCTATGCAGATGATACGACGGTATATAGGTGCACCTCCAAAACTCTAGATGACCAGAGCGCAGCAGTTGATCATTCCTCTGACCTCTGACCTTAATGGAGGAAAAACTGATTGGTCACTTTCAATAGCTCGAAAATCAAGCTAGTAACGTTCCGTCATCACCGAGCAGAATCTTCGTCTTCGTCTCTCGCGATAAAAGTTGTCTTCTCTCAAGGGATCTTCCTACCATGAGATAAAAAGGAAGAAAATGATAGAATTCTGGAAACAAGGAGCATAAATAAAACTGAAAAGGGAGAAAAAATGAAGAGAGAACGAAAGAGAAAGTAACAGTGAGAGGGAAAACAAAGAAAGGAGCAGGGAAACAAAGAAACAAGTGGGAAAGTGAATAAACAAGCGGGAGAAGATGATAAATATGCACACGCAGAGGCATAAATCAATGTATGCAAGCAGGCAAAGACGATAGTTTTGCTTGTATTTTGACTTAAGCACACTGCAGACCTAAAGTTGGAACTCGCATATACGATCCATTACTAAAGATGCTATAAAAATAGCCAGTTCTCTGAACCGCTTCAGTAAGTACCTCACTCCTTATATCCTCTACCTATATAAAAGCCAACTCAGGCCAGAAATATCTGGGCCCTATTTACACTTTTCAGTTTTGATAGCGTCCAAAAGCGCCTATGCGGCTTTGTGGGCTATGAATAAATTTCCAATCTACGACCTCTTTCCAACAGACTGAACTTTGCAAGTCACTCGCTATTCTGTCGCTATTTATATGGATAATGTTCAGACAAGCTACATTCGTTAGTTCCACCATCGAAAACCGACGATGATACTGTTATGGTCCAGGTTAGGACCAAGGACGAACAACACGAACACAAGAGTAGAAATAACGAAGGTATATTACACGAAATAATAATACAAGATGTGGAAGGTGTTAGTATGACTGTCAGTCTGGTCTGAGTGAACTACTATCGGCTCGACTCGATTCGATATTTACTCCCCCCCCCACGAGGGAAAGATGTGGCACAAGGCCGAGTTTTACGTGGGTTTTCCGAGCCCGTAGGCTCGGCCCAAAAATGCCCGTCGAAACTGTAAAAACAGAATCGGGTTCTTCAGCCTCCCCGAACGAGGCTCTACCCTTCGGCGGAGCCTCGTCCGTCAAGCCGAAACGGTTGACCCTCTCTCTTGAGAGGCATAGTATATATAGTGTTAGGAAGGGTTCATTCTGTAGTTCTAGGTAAGAACCTATGACAGATATAGTTTTCTTTTTTTTTTAATTTAGAGCCTCCGATGTATCTAGAATGATAATCTTAACTCACCCCTTTTAGCTTTCTATCGCTTCTACTTTATTTTTTTATCGCCATTGTTATTAAATATCCCACATTGTAACAGCATAAGATTTTGGAGGAACGGAGATATGTTGTTTGAACCGAGATGCAAATTTGCTGTAGAAGATTCATAAATTAGTGCACTGTCACTAAAATAAAAACAGACAATTATGATTTTAACGCACAATGCACAATCTCCCGAAGCTGGTACAATGTGTTGCAGTTTTTTTTTAAATAAGAAAAGTAACATTTTTATCCATTATTATTAGTAAATATTTCATCCTGATTTTGGTTGTGTTGATTTTATCTCAACATGACTCGTACTGTCAACAGTCTGCTAAAAATGAATACAGTAATCCAAACGTGCACACACAAACACACACACACACACACACACACACACACACACACACACACACACACACATTTACACAACAAGACAAAAACACGTGAGTTCTACCTGGCCAATGAGCAACACAATTAAAAGTAAGGGAATTTTCTTTTCTATAATTCATTTCTAAAATTTCTGATTTTTAAATTAATGCAAAAGATGTTAAAATTATAAATGTTTTCTTTTTGTTCCTTAGCCTATCATTAAAAAAAAATTAATATAAAAGTAAAATTAAGAAAAATAGTTGAAAATATTACATATAAAAATGGAAATAAAAATAAAACTGCCATTTTTATGAGCAGGCAATCTCTCTGCTCACTCTAAAATACTGTAAAATCGTAAAATAAAAAGACTTGACAGCTTTTAATTAAAAACCTACCCTCATTAAATGTCTGTGATATTTCGATTTTAATAACTAAATTTCTTTTCTTTTTCTCTTCGTCTATCTTTTCAAATAAAGAAAGCAACATCTTGATAAATCGATTTTATTCCTTCATGATGCTTTATGAAAAAATGGATAAGTTGACATTCATGTATTTTGCAGCAGAGACGATAGATTATTAATTTATGTCAATCTGCCGTTATTTGCCTGAGATTAATAAGAAAACAAAACATTTGATCATATTTTTTTCAATGAATTTATTAAATTCAGATATCAACGTAACTTTATTCACTTCTTTTGTTTAAAACTAAGAAAGCTTAATCCGCTTAACTGAGTTTTCCGTTCGCACATGTTTAGGAACGGTGTAATAATATCAGAAAGAAAATCATTAAATTATTAAATAAACATTACTTAACAACAGTTAATACAACCAACGCCAATTAGGCCACAACAGCAGCAAGCATTTCTACTAAAACGGAAATAACCAGCTAATTACACATTAATAATGATAATAATAATATAAATAATGAAGAATAATAGTAAATCGAAATCTCAAAAATGTGACAAATGGGGGGGATCAACAATTCCAGCTGGAGCTGGAGCTCTTGGATTGATTGTAAAAGGTTCCGATAGACCAGATGAAAACATTCCTGGTAGCCCAAACATTGAAGAAATACAAAAGATAGTACTCCCAAGTACACACCTTACAAAGGTTTTATTCATATAAAATATATGTGATATTAATTTATTTGTTTTGTTTTATTTGTTTTAATCAAAAAATGTTCAATGGAAAATGCCATGATGCAATTTCTGACCTTAGGTCCATGGTTGGGACCCAGAAAGAAATGAGTATATACTCGGAATCAAAGGAAATGTAGTAGTAGTAGTAGTAGTCATAATAATAATAATAATAATAATAATAATAATTATTATTATTATTATTATAAAGTCAAGGATAAGCAGTGTTGCCAAGACAAATCTCTGCATGGACAATATCCAGAACCAGAATAAAGCCGATGTTGATAAAGTTATCACTCATCAATGGTCACGTGCAACTGGATTAAAAGCTGAAATGGAAAGCTTTATTCTTGCCGCGCAAGACCAGTTTTTTCACTAGAAAATTTCAGTTAATTATCATGCATAATATTGTGCATCCAAAATGCAGTTCTGTAACAAATATCAGGAATCTATAGACCATCTAATCTCAGGATGTTCTGTACTTGCGCCAAATGAGTATAAGAATCGACACGATAAAGTGGAGCAATACTTACACTGGTTAATGTATAAACACTTTGGAAAAGATGTTAATAATCACTTGTATGAACACCACCCAGCAACGGTTACAGAAATAGGTACAGAACTCTATGGGATTACACCATCTCTACAGTCAGGAAGATTGAAGCAAATAGGCCGGATATAATTGTCAAAAGCCGAAAAGAAAAAACTTTCTTACTAATTGATATCGCTTGCTTAGCTGACTGTAACAAAGCAAACAAGGGATTTAAAAAATTTTTTTCGAAGTATAGAGACCTGGAAATCGAAGTAGAAAAAATGTGGAAATCGAAACAAGAATTGTACCAATCATAATAGGTGCGTTTGGAATTATAAAAAATGCAGCACAATGAAAAAATCCCTGGAAATCACAGCTTAAGAGAAATGCAAAAAGAAATTCTTGATAAGTACAACCCACACACTAAGAAGAATTTTGTTCATTTAACGCTAGTGATGTTATGGGAGTTAGAAAAAAAAATCATGAAATGTTGCCATAATAACACACTATCAGCCTTAGGTCTTTCCGCAGACTTGAGAGGTAGTGTGATCAGAGCAGAAATCGAAAGATAATAATAATAATAATAATAATGAAAGACATAGTAGGTACTATCGACAAAATACGGTATTCCAAATGGACCGCAGGTATAGAAGTCAAAAAGGTACCATTTATTGAAGAAGTGCAAACATTTTGGGAGAATATTTAGAGCAAACCAAAGGGATTTCATTCCAATGCAGATTTTACCAAAATAGAACAGAAAGAATAAAGGATAAATCTGTGAAAGAATGGAAAAAAATAACCAAGAAGTCATGTTAGGCAAGAAATAGAAACCCCCAAGAAATGACAAACTACCCAACTTTTGGCTCTGTCATCTAACATCAATTTCATAAAACTCTTGCACGAACTTTGTCAATGCTAATTAATAACCCAATGAAATTTCAGAATGGATATCTGAAGGTATTACATATCTCCTACCAATACGAGGGAAGCAGACGATCCAAAAAATTATAGGCCAATAACATGTCTGATCACCACATATAAATTGATCACGTCTGTCTTGACGAACTCTACTTACTCAATGAAAACAACATTCTTCGTCTGGAACAGAAGGGATGTCGAAGAGGTTCATATGGTTGCAAAGATCAACTACTAGTAATCAAAATGCTCCTGGAAAATTTCAAGATAAAAGGTAGAAATGTAATCACAGCCCTGGATATATTAGCGTAAAGCCTTTGATAGTGTGCCACACTCTTGGATCCTTAAGGCTTTAGAAGTGTACAAAGTCTTCTCGGTGATAATAAATGTCCTTTTAATATAGAATGGAATTGTGAAAAAAAACCACATTATGCATAAATCACACAACAGTTACTGGCACATCCAGTTGCTTAAATAACCAACGAAGATTCTTTAAAAGAGAATCTCTGTCGCACCTTCTGTTTTATCTCTCCTTAACCACCCTTCGCATGGATAGAAATTAAAATGAAAGTGTTTAATCATCTATTCTGCATGGATCACATAAAACTCTCTACCAATGTCGACAATTAGTTGAAAGGTATCTCAATATTGTAAAATGTTCCAATGGTGACATCGGTATGGATTTCGGATTACATAAATGTGCAGAAGTAGCCTTCAAGAAAGGGGGAATTACAGAAATATACTCATTAGATTTAAATTGTGTCGCAAACATTAGTGAACTGGAACAAGAAGAAGCCTAGGAGTCAGCGAAGAAGATGGAATACAGTATGCCCAAATGGAGGAGAAGGTAAGAAATAAATACTTCAGGTGTGCGCCTGTGGTGTTAAATGCTGAATTGAATTTAAAAAAAATCAGAATATCAGTCATAAATACTTTGTGTGTCTCTATGGTGCAATATAGCTTCAACATCCTTGACTGGACCATAGCTGACATTAAGCCTGAAAACCAGAAAGCTTCTCAATTGCCACTGCATGCATCATCCTAAGGCTGATGTTGATCGTTTGTATGTCTCCAGATCCAAAGTAGATAGAGGATTAGTTCAACTAGAACTGTCTTACAAAACCTCAACAATCGGTCTTCAAAGATACCTGGAAACTACAGAAGACTAGATGATGATCTGCGTCAAAGAACCTAAAGAAATAAGAAACTATATTCAGTAAGGAAAGCAACTGATTCAAAAGGAAATTTTAAATGTGTGAAGAAGTGAAAATAAACCATAATACATCTACTGCAGCGGCAAAGAACTTAAATGAGAAAGCAAATGTAATGTACCAAATGTAGAAACGATGGCAAGATAAGCCTCTTCATGCTCAATAATCTGCCCGTACTAAACAAACTGATGTAGACAAACCTCGTACTCATAAGCGGTTATGTAGTGCGGGATTAAAAGCTAAAAGCAAAGGTTTTATTCTTGTTGCTCAGGAGCTATGTTTGTTAACTAAAATTTACAAAGTATATATACTGAAAAGACAACAGAAACAAGTTTTTTTGATGGACAGAGCAGTTTCTTCAATCAGTAGAGCAGCTTTGAAGATTTTTAAAAAAATTATCAAAAAACAAAGATTTTGAAGAAGAAATTTTAAAAAAATGTAACTCATGAAGACATCAGTAATTCCACTTGTGGTTGGGGTCTTGAATTTGATTGCCAAATGTTCGGATAAATTCAGCGAAATGATTCCTGGCAGCCTATGTCTTAAAGAGATACAAAAGTTGTTCACACAAACATATCTGAAACTCTACTAAGGGCTTAATCTTTATAAAATATTTGTGTTTGGATGTTGTCTTTTAAAACAAATGAGAGTTGGAAAATGTTATTATGCCTTTTATGACTTTAGGACGCTGCTTGGAATGCGGGAGGAAATGAGTATACAACGGAAATCAAAGCAAATAATAATAATAATAAATAGGACAAAATCCGGTCTTTGGAATGCGGGAAGGAAAATAAAAGCTGACGTTGAAGACAAAACGTCAGACTGTTCTCATCTTAAATGATCACTTCAACGTTAAAATACCAGTTCCCGTATGATTACCGAAGTTAAGTAACCTCGTGCCAGGTCAGAACCTAGGTGGGTAACCTCTTGGGCAAAGCGGGTGCTGTAATCTTGGCTGTGCGGATGGTGTAATGTACAGTCGCTCGGAGTTTTTAATCGGAGAACAGAGTTACAATTCTTGGTTGGTTCATTACATTCACTTACGAGCAAATAACCTTGGGAAAGGTATGAATCCAACTCTTCTTCCAACAAGTTAATTAATAAGACAAATCATTAAACCGTTATTATCTAAAAAATCTTACAATCGAAAAATATTTTCTGCCTTCAAATAACTTGCAAACGGTTGATAAGTCGTAGAAATCGAATCAAACAATCACTTCAAGGAATTCTTCACTGTCAATGTTAAAGAGCTACCGTTTCTACAATTGTGACACTGAAGTGATTAACATGAAATGGGACGGATACTTGCATGAGGTCACTTACAATGCAACTGAAAATCGTTGTCATTAACGAATCTAGCCGCTAAACATTCGAGGATGATCAGAGAAGAAAGAATCCTAATAGTATACGACTAGCAGTAGAGCCCGGCGTTGCCCGGGCATGTAACAGTAAGAGATAGATCAAGTATCGACCATCATAAAGACTGAAAAATAAAATTGACAAAGATTATTGTTTAATTTGACGGACACGCATGTCTTTAATTAGTTTTTTTTTGTTTTTTGTTTTTAGGAATTGGTCAAACCCAAAACTCAAACAAAAACATTGTTTTCAATCGCTATGAATCTATCGATTGAATAGAATTTATTATAAAACAATTGTCTTGTAAATGGAATTTTTAAAGCATTCTGAATGCAAAAATAAAGAAAAAAAAAGACAATAAGAAACACTACCTGCCAAAAAAGTTTTGTTGAAAATCAGTTTGAAAAATGTAGGAAACTGATCCCATAGATAAACGGACACACACACACACACACACACACACACACACACACACACACACACAACATGGGTTTTATAATAATATAACTCGATATGAGTTGTCCCCTTTCATTTTGGCGACAGAATCGTTTTTTTAAAAAAAAAAAAAATTGATTTCGTGCAAACACAATTGTGTTTTCCAATTTTTGGCGCCGTCAGAACCACCGCAAGGTAATCTTACGCAGTCCTGTGAAGTTTTCTTGAAATCGGTTGAAAAATGTAGGAAATCTGTTCCAATATATAAACGTACACGGTGTTTACTCATTCCCCCACGAGAATGAGATGTGACACAAGGTCGGATTAATGTGGGGACCCGAGCGCGTACATTCGGGCAGGGGCCAAAAAATTCCCCTCATATATAAACGTACACACACACACAAACACACACACACACACACACACACACACACACACACACACACACACAATCTGCGTTTTATAATAAGGTTAACTTGATATGAGTTGTCCCCCTTTCATTTTGGCGACAGAATCGTGTTTTATCGTGTTTTCAAATTGATTTCGTGCAAAAACAATTGTGTTTTTCAATCTAAATAGCGCTGTCAGAACCACCGCAAGATAATTTTACGCAGTCCTGTGAAGTTTTCTTGAAATCGTTGAAAAATGTAGGAAATATGTTCCAATATATAAACGTGCGACGGTGTTTACTCATTCCCCACGAGAATGAGATGACACCTGGTCGGATTAATGTGGGGACCTGAGCATACATTCAGGCAGGGACAAATTTTCCCTCATATATAAACGTACATACACGTTTCCACGCTACAACCCACTTTCCCACAGAGGAAACGTCTCAAGCCTGTCGCAGCTCTATCGCTATTTCCTTGAAAAGTATTCAAACGAACTAAATGCCACCAGTTGTAACCTTCACGGCTAAAAGCCTACATTCCTCGCACATTCTAGCGAAGATACCTTTGTATTCCATTGGTAAGATGTTAATTCCTCTCGAGCTGCTCCATCTCACGAACTGCTGCTTTGTGGAACCGACTCGCACGTGGATGCTTCACAGGTCACTACAATCTTAACCTGATCAAGTCTAGGGTTAACCTTTATCTTCCTCTGCTATGCGATTAAACAGTACCTCTTACTCTGCAACCCTCTATCGCGCGTGACTTTTGGACCTTATAAACGATGGACATCATTATAAAAAACGAACAATGAATATAAATAGCTGGACTAAACTCTAATGAGATACGTTCGAATAGATTCATTAAAGGGATAGCTGACGATCCATGTTGCAATGAAATGCAAATCTTTTTCACACCTTTCGAAGAGTTTTATCCATGTAAAATGTGTACTTTTTATTGCAGAAATTATCAGATGAAATGATTTGGACGCTGGAGGAAATGAATACACAAGAAAATCAACGATAAACAGCACCCAGACCCGGTTACACAGATAGGACCTATTACTATTTTATGGGACTACACAATACCTACAAACAGAACAAGCTAACCCACCAGACATTGTCATTAGAGACGCAAACAAAAAAAGTGCCTCCTTATTGATATGGCATTCCCTGCAACTGCAATGTATCTTTGAATATCTTGAACTTGAAATGTCACAAATGTGATACATGGGAACATCAACATTACTTGTTGTATTTGGAGCCCTTGAATTGATTGGAAAATATTCCAATAGCCTCATTGAAGGGATTCCTGGTTGTCCATGCCTTAAAGAAATGCAGGAAATCTTTCTCACAAGTACCATCCATATCTTACGAAGTGCTTTATTTATGTAAAATATGTTTTTTTTAATTGGTCAGTGGAAAATATCATGATGTCATTTCTGACCTCAGGTCTCTGATCGTAACCTGGAAAAAATAAGTACACACCAGCAATGAAAGGAAATAAAATAATAATAATAATAAAATGTTGCAGTCCCAGCCGTCAGAAACATCATTGTAAAACGTTTGAGAAATTATGCACATAGAAAGAGCTCGGCGTAGAAATCAGTAGAATGTAGCCACATCTCAAGTGTTGTGTCTTTGTGAATGGCATCAAAAGATGCCATCAAATACCTGGTAGACCTAAAATATATGAATTACAAAAAGAGCATACTCATTGACACTTTTCATATTTAGGGCAGATTCTTTTCTATGTAGTGACTACAATAATATTTCATCTGCCTGCATCTTCTGATACAAGCAAAAACAAAAACAAAACAAAAAACTTGCAGTTTCTTGAATTCTCTGGATGAAACTTGGGGACAACAAAGAAAAACTGGGAAATTTTGATAAAACTAAATAAAAATAAAATTGATGACATTGCATAACTTTTTGCATCTTCTGAATTCCGCTAAAAAACTTAGATTAAATAGAAAAAAGGAAGAAGTGACCTCGTCAATATTGAAAATTGCGTCTGTTTTCCTATTAAAGTTTACCGTATTTGTGAGCAAGAAAGACGCACATCTATATGCAGAGCATGTTCAAGAAAAATATTTAGTGTATTTAAGCATTTAAAGCAAGTTTTCAGTACATTAGAAAACAATGTGAAAACACCTTGCCAATACTAGAAAATATATATAATAATATAGTATATATCAGAAAAGTATATAACAAGCCTCCAGTTCATCTGAAAAGAACACATTCACCACTTCACGAGTTATGCTCAGTTATGACTTGTCCTAATCGCAACTGTATAGATGCTGGTAAAACCGTTATTCATAACATATTAAATTCACATTTATCCTAATATAAAGGAAGATAAGGTAATCAAATTTAAAAGATAAAAAATGATTAATAATAGGGCAGTGAGTGTAATTAGTATATTATCAATAGTTCTATATCTGTTTATATTTCTGAGACGAAGTTTTGTAACTAGTTACATTATTTATATTGTTCGTACTCATCTTTATTGTCATATCCATAACGTTTCGGTCGTGATATACCTTGATTTTCTTGGTATCTTAGTATTAACTCTCCAAATTTTTGTTCACCTCTGCTATTGAAGTCACAAATCATTAACAAAATTACTGGAGTATTTTAACCAACGCTTTTATCCAGTGGGTCATATATCCTTGGCGTGTATGAATTTTTGGAACTTATAAGCCTACTTTTTCAGTAACTATATTTTTTTTTACCAGAGTTCATATTACAATTTGGTATTATTATTGTTTTTTTTCTAGGAAAATAACTGAAACTGAGATATCCAGAAAAGGCATGGCACGTGGAACTAGTACAATCTACACCGGTGGATGAAATTTCAACGTATAGCACCTGAAGAAGGCCAAAGCGTACAACAGCTGAAACGTGAAGAATATAACAATAAAGATGACGACAATAACCCGAACAATTTAATAATGTAAATAGTGTAAATAGTTTTGTTATTAAAATTATTAATAATGCTGATGCAGAAATTTAAACATACGGCAGCTAATGTTTGACGGTGTCCTCAAAGATGAAGAAGAGACTGAAAACAACGGAGGTATGGTTCTACAGAAGGATGCTAAGGATATCATGGACAGAACATATGAGCAACGATGAGGTTTTTTAGAGAATGCAAACAAGAAGGAAGCTTATACTTAACATCTGGAAGAGGCAGCTGAAATTTCTTGGATAGGTAAAGAGAAAGAAGGGCTTGGAGAATCTGATACTCACAGAAAGAGAGACAAGGGAAAGAAAGGTGTGACATACTTAGCGGGCTTAATCAAGTGGATGACAGAACAGGGTCGGGGAGAAGTAGCAAAAGGACAAAACATATTGAGAACTACAAGAGCTAGAAGAAATGGAGATCTATATTCGCTTACGCCCTGAAGAGACACGGCACATAAAAGAAGAAGAATATTAAGAATAATGGAGATCTTGTTATAGTTTTGATTTATTATTTACTGATTTCATTTTTTGAAAATATATGCAAAGAAAATGAAAACAAAATAAACTGTATAAATAAAACTTTAGGTAGAAAAACACATTAAATAAGAAAACCTAGCAGAAACCGACCCACCATGTGACCAAGCAATAAAAAATATACTAAATAATTTCCATAAAGATCATAAGGTCAGCCATATTAAGCTTCCCAAATGTCACAAGTCGTATAAGTAATAAAAGAAAAGAAAATTCGAAAGTGAAACCGAAAGTGAAAGTGAAATTATAGTACAGGAATATCAAAATGAA